CTAAATTTGATATAAATCACATAATCTCTAAAAACATTATAAATTACTTAATAGTTAAATATGGTCTATACAGATAAATACCTAGTTTTGAGTGATACTGAATGAAGAGATAACTGTCAATTTCCAGTAATCTATAAAGGTGAAACTTTATCTGATTGGATGAAATGAATCTGGAATTAGTTGATGAATTATAAGAATAATAATCATTTGACTGATGATAAAAAGTGATATCTTATTGCCAGAAAGATGGTGTATCTATATGAAGGTGATCTTGGTCATGCTGTTGAAGTGAATATAGCAATATGTTATAGCTGTGATCAATTTGTTTATGTCAATAAAAGAGTAGAATATGAAACATTGTGATATAAGTTTCAAAGAGTATATGGAGCTTAAACAAAAACCAGAAGCCAAACGTGATATTTTCACAAGACTAGCTATTTATCATTATGAATTATGAATAGAAAATCTTATCAATAGAGTTAAACATATTCGAGAAACAGCAAAAAAAATCCGAGCTGTAAATATCATAGCACAAAAATGACTCGAATATATGTATCACCCCGATGGTATGACAGCCGAAGAATTAGCATTACATTACCAATTATTATGGGCGGTTCGAGAAGAAATGCAACAAGTTAACAATGCATAGCTTATTATAAATAAATCTAACAATATATAAACTGCATCCATCTTATTTATTATTATCATATTATTTATTATTAATATACATTATTGATTTGAATTTAGAATTTGTGGATTCAGCTGGTAATATACTTTTTATCTTGCACTTCTGCAAATCTAGTGGAGTATCGAACCTTAACCAGGCCTATCTAGATCAAATACAATAAATTCACCTTACGGAGATAGCTACCATGTGTAGTTCATAATTCAGGTGAAAAGCGTGAGTCAATAGTCTCGTCAGACCAAATGACATGTGCTCCAGAAAAAAATTTTTCATGTTGTGCAGAAAATTAATTCTTCCCCTGACAAGTTCTGTCTTCACCTCTTTCCGCAACAGTTTTCAGCTCCGTTCATACTTTTCAATAGCTCAGCTTGAAGAGAGGAATGCTTTATTAAAAGAGGGACCTATTGAATCTACGTATTTCAGACCGTGCGTTCAGAAAATAATACTTCTTACTTTTCTCGTAGATTTATGCTCCCTCTTTCTCAAAATTAAAGAAGAGGACAAAAGAATATTTAGATCTTGGTAAATCTGGGAAGGTCTGGGAGAACTATTTTCGTCCGTTTGAATGGCGTGCACAGGATTATGGTACGAACAGTAAATTTTTATGTTTTCACGACTTTTTGTTCGGAATGACAATTATGCCAATTTGTTACTTCCTCAATAGACTTTTACGCAAAAAATTCCGGTTTTATGGATGAGATATCTGTCATAAAAGATACTATCGAGATTCCGGTTAAAGATCTTCTTCAATGTATGATTGTAAGTTTTTCGCATCAAAGTTGCGTCATAGAGGGAAATTCACTAGGAAGTGCAGAGTCACAAATCATTTGGGAAAAAATGAACCAAGACTATAACATTGACGATTTGCAACGTGAGGGAGCACAATTACCCGAGCCGAAATCTCTTCTCGATAAACCTGGAAAGGAGATTGAAGTTGTCGAAATCCGTAACCACCTGCTTGCGACCCATTACTTATACAATACTTTGCTAAAGTCAGAACAAGAAATAAACATCGACAATATAAAGAAGATCCATCATACTCTTTTGAAAGATACCCCACAGGAGAGAGTTAATGTATGGGGCAAAATCCAGCAAGCAGGAATGTTTCGAACAATGCCAATGCAGGCAGTAGGTTATCAATTGACCGTTTATCCGGTAAGAGTTTATTAATCTCCGCTTATCAAGTTTCGATTATGGCTCAATTTGTGTTCTCTGTAGTATGGAGAGGAAGTGCCCGCGTTGACGGAAAGGTTTGTACAATTTTACAACAAGACCGTCACTAGCGATAATGTTGAGGTTCATGAACCATATCAAATCCACCCTCTTATGAACGCATGTCGCATACTTTCGTCCATCCTTCATATTCATCCATTCTACGATGGTAATGGACGTGTGGGACGTTCACTCATGGCGCTTTATCTTGCCCGTGGTGGCTTTCCACCCCCTGTTTTTCAACAACTTGATCGAAAAGAATATGCGGACGCATTGTATAAGGCTCAGGCAGAGAAGGATATGGTCCCGTTATATAACATAGTGATAGGAACCATCTTTGATATTTTAGCATCATATACGTGGTTACCCATTAAATAGTAATATGATATGAGCGTGAATATTAGATAATAAAATACGTCAACTCAGGCGATTATTCCTTACAAATTCTAAAATAATATCAATAAAGTTTCACCCATGATTCGAGCATATATTTTTTAAACATGGTGTAGTGATGTATCGGAGCATTCTTGATCGACACTGGCCCCACGCCGAAAATATAAGCATTCTACTGTATCCACTCGCACAAAAAATGATTCACGCAAAAGTACTGTAATTAAAGTTTTAAGTTTATTCTATAAGACCCAATTCTCGAAGATGCTCTGGAATAACCACATATGGGTCTTCATAGTACCAAACGTATCTTAAAACGATCCAATTTTCTTCACATAATTCTTTCTTGAGTTGATCCCGCTCTTGCTGTTTGATAAAATTATTGGGATCTCCTTTGTGAAAGAATTTGATATATTTTTCGTGTTGTTCTCCTTGTACTCCGATTGCAAAACCATATTCTGGGTAAAATATATCAAGTTGTAGACCTTGAGGAGATTCAACCGTTTTTAAAAAGTCTGGCCAACGATTTTCTGACGGAGGTCCAAGATATTTCGTCACAATCTCGCGACATAAATTCTCCCGTTTGAATTTTGAGCAAAATGGACACCAGGTACCACTTTTCACGTTATTAAAGGACGCGTACCATAAATGACCTTCCTTACAACTCCACAATAATTGTGATTGACTATTTTTATACTCGATTGAAAGGCATTGTCCATGTCTAAATAATGCAATTTGCTTTGCATCCTCAAGAGTTAATTTCATATTACCTGCGCAATATGGACACCAACTCCCTTGTTGAATACTATTGGGAATAGCTTCCCATCTATGATTGTTTTCACAAATCCATTCTAATTTTGTTTGCGAATCATAATATTGATCTGAAAGACAATCTCCATTTTTTATTTGCGCGAGTTTACGCATATCCTCTATTGACTGATATCGACCAATACAAAATGGGCACCATTGTCCTCTATTTTTAATGTGATTAAGTTTGTTTTGCCATTGATGATTGAATTGGCATTTCCAGATAAGCGGATCGTTTATGTTAATATATTTAGTTGAAAGACATTCACCATGCCTAGATAATGCGATTTGCTTCGCGTCCTCAAGAGTTAATTTTGTATTACCTGCACAAAATGGACACCATGTTTCAGAATGTTTAATGTTATGGAACGGGCTATTCCAAATATGACCTTGATGGCATTTCCATGTCATTGGGGTATCAGAATTTTTATATATGGTTGAAAGACATTTACCATTTCGGCTAATTGCAATTTGCTTGGCATCTTCGAGAGTAAGACGGGCATTACCCGCACAAAATGGACACCACTTACCACTTTTTACATTGCCAAGAGATGCTCGCCATAAATGATTTTCTTTGCAACGCCATATTAATGGTAATTGATTATTTTTATACTTCTTCAAGAGTATGTCTTACATGACCTGCACAGTGCGGGCACCAAGTTCCACAATTTTTAATTCGACGAAGTGGGGCACTCCATGTATGATTCTTAGAACAGATCCATACTAATGGAGTTTTATTATCTTTGTATTCAGCTGAAAGACATTTTCCACCACGGGATTCAGCAATAACACAAGCATCATTTAGTGATAGTTTTGGAGACATTGAGGAGAAATATTTTTAATCTTTGAAAACTTATTCTATTCATTTAATTTCAAAGGAGTATCCCAACCAAGACGTATACTTAAAGGATCATCAGTTGGTTTAGTGAAATCAAATTTCGATTTCGTAGATGCTTGTCAATAATTTTTTAGGATCATCTACTAACTGACGCAAAATTCGAATGAGATCTTCTCGGGATCCCCCATTGTTAAATAGTATAAGATGGCTTAAATTTTCACGGATTATTTTAGGTGTTTGTGTATATTTCTGTGACACATATATTGGCGAGATATTTTGATGCCGACCACTAATGAAATAAGGAATAATTCGTTCTTGCACCTTTTTCGATTCGGCGCATAGATCCTCAAATACAACAACTGTACTTCGATCTGGTGAGAATTTGGTTATATCTGGAATTTTATCTGGAGATACCCTTTTAAATGTGACATCTTCTCGATACGGTTTGGGGGCATTCGCAAAGATCTGAAAGCTATTTTGTACAAGTTGCCATTTAGGTTCAAAATGCTTGCCTATTAATACAAGATCATCATTTCTAATATACCGCTCACCTTTTTTTCCCTTGAACATGCATTGTAGTTTGTTACCAAGCATAAGATTTATAATCATGTTAGTTTTTCCACTATGGGATTCTTCACATACCAGTAATCTGAATGGATCCTCTGGTGAATATTTATTACCTTTCATTCATTTTGAGGTGTTGTTAGATGTCTCATCGATATTGTATACAAATATGGGCATGCCTTTATCTTTCATTCTAATCAAGATAAGTAATATTTATTCTTTATATGATAAATAACCTCTCTTTTGTAATTTGCTTTTTATATAGGAAAATAAATCTGCATCATATAGTATTTCAATAAGATTTATACCTCACTCTTTGCATATATCCTGCTTTTTTTGGTCATGTAATCTTTATGAATCTAGATCAGCCTTGCTATTGGGGTGAAAGTATTTTGGAACAACATTAAAATGTTGAATGTCCTGGAATTCAAATGCCAATTTTAATTCTTCATTATATTCATCTAATTGCATCCCATTCAAAAACAATGGTCTACAAGATGAAAATTTCTTATATAATAGATCTTCAAAAATATATCTTATATTTCTCTCAGTAATATGATAACATAAGAGATACTATTCAAATTTTGTAGTTATTAATGGATATGGATATTCTCACTGATGTTTTCCATTTTTGCAAGACCAAAGATATATATCAAAATTATTTATTGTGCCAGTTTTACCAAGATATTGGCCACTATATCTTTTAGCATATTCATCAATCTTAGCTATTTTATTGACAATATGAATAATATTAACAGATCTGAAACAAGTATTTTCTTCTAATATACTCTGAGATGGATACTGAAGTTTTTCTAGATCTACTTGTATGAGCTCTTCAAATACAAATTCACATTTTAAAGCATATTTATCATCATTATCTCCAAGATAATATAAAACTGATTCATTTTTCATTATTACAATTTTTCAAATTTTATGGATAAAAGACAAAAATACTGGATCTGTCACCTAATGTGTTATTTCTATATCTTCTTCTCACTCTGCATTAGCAAGCAGGTAATGAATACTATCCCTCTTTTTTAACTTATTTTTCTCATCCTTTCCAATAGGATGCTTATATTTTGTAGATGATCTAGATTCTACTCATTCTAATTTAATAGCTTTTGCTAGAGCTAAATCTCATTTTGATGAATATGGAGCTCAAATAAGATGTGTCAGATAATTATTAAGATAATCTATTACTTCTGACAACTACTTAACCCACTCTCTTATTAATTTAGGATTTTTAGATATTAATTTAATAGCATATTGAATTTTATAAAGTATCTCTACTAACATCTTATTGAATCATTTTATAAGAGCTAATCCATGATAACTATAAGTATCAATTACTCAAATTGTGATATTATACACTTCTATTAGCTGACTTACTGATTTTTTAAATTTTATTCCACTATCATATTGTAATAATTGAGGATAGATAAGAGGGTTATTAAGATTATCATAAATTTTCTTAAATGCTTTAGCAACTTCAGAATTATTCTTTGATGTTAAGAGAATACTTGTCTTGAATCTGCTAGTCACATCTATAATTTGTAATACTGTTTTTCATGTCTTCCTCTTATATTTATCATATGTAAAAAATAAGAGATCATATTGGTGTATACAATTTGAACATGAAATTTTATCATAACTAACTTGTGAAATATTTTTCAGTGACAGAATGTACTTTTGCTATTCATTCTGATTATATAATCATTTACAAATTTTTTTATATGAGAAGCTATATCCTTTATCTTTGATAGTATTATATAGCTTTTGAAGATTGGAATAGTAATCAGTAGGTTGATAAAAAAGTAATTTATAAATTAAGTTTAACTCCTTATTTGGATTGATTTTAATAATAGGCTTGCTCAATCTATTTATTTTTGATATTACTTATTATAGCAAAGTCAAGAGATAAGATAATATAATATGTCATAAAAAATAGAAATAGAGTCTCATTACTTCATAATAATCATGGTATTTCATAGATCCTGACCTTCCAATTGAATAACTCATAAATCAGCTACAGATAAAGAACTCAAGCTGAAATAAATTAACCAAGAACTCCAGGAGATATTACAATCAGAGATAGCTATCAACAAGTCAAATGAGAAATATATAAAGGATCTGGAATATAAATATACCCAGTATGAGAATGAAATTCAATTTCTCAATAAAGAACTGGAATAGCTTGAGAATGTTTTGGAAGAAAAAAAGATAGAGTTAAAATCAGAAATATTATCCCTTAAAAAAAGCTTATATCAAACTAAAAAGGAGGTTCAAGATAAGATATCTTATATCAATAATATAGAGAAATAATTACAAGAATCAGAAGAGTGAATTCAAAATCTAAGATATAAATTCAAAGTTATTTCTTCTCAAAGAAGCTCTTCAAGTTTATATAATTTAGAAGAGAAAGATATAGATATAGCAAATCTTGATCTTTTTATACAAATTGAATGAGACTTGATTCATATTGAAAATCACCTTAAAGATGCTAGAATACTGTTAAATAATCCTATAAATATTATAAATGGCATTAGAGATTTCTTAAATACTATTTGGTATAATTATCAGTCTGCATATCAGAATATAGATAGTATTATCACTCAATGAGATGACAGTAATAATCAGATAGTTCAGTTATAGCAGAATGTTAATTATTTTAGACAGTTAGATATACTTCAATAAAATCATATTAACCAGCTCACTCAAGATGGTATTACTTTACAAAATCATAATCATCAACTTACACAAGAACATGATATCTTACAAA